GGTATAACAAACATAATAAATGGTAACCTTTCATACTCATGAAATTAAGGTGTAGTTTTTAGACGAGGAGCAACCAAAATGTATTATATATTAATTAATTAATGTGGCCTATTCGAAGTCAACATCTCGCTTAGTTTAAACTGCATCCCCTGTATATAGTTTCATTTTTAGGTTCTGCGCATACCTTGCCATTATCGAAATAAAAAAGAATCCTGACTAACCAAAACTAATAAATCAATCATTTTTTTCCGTTGAACCTTTTTCGCGGACAGGGTAACAATTTTAAAGCTCATTATTATTTATTCGATTTTATTAGATTGCTATAATTATTGGGGATGCTGAAAAAGGGCGAAATAAATGAGGTTTTACGTACTTTATTCTGTCCCATGTGTGAAACTTTCTATTATTTCTAGATTAAGTAAAAAAAATTGGGTTAGTTTTTTTCCTAGAATTCGAAAATGAAACAATATACAAGGTGTGATGTTTAAATTAATTCAATAAACCTTTTTTTTATAACTTCCTTACAAAATCTTATTTTTACCGGTTGAAACTCTCTGTATATTCCAGATAAAATGGTATTGCTAGGAAAGAATCTCCAATTCTTTATAGAAACTGTCTGGAAAAAGGGTGGTAAAGTTTTTAAAAACAAAATATTTGTAATACCATTGTAGATATTTTAATGAAATCTGGTATCCGGCATTATTTAGTGTACCATAATTTTTTGACAATATACCAGTGGTGGGCGTATGGAATTTCACATGTCTATTTTGGCAAACATTGATAGTACGCCACTAATTTTTATTAAAATAAAAATTACTCTCACAATCTCCAATCATTTCTTCAAAAATTTAATTTTGTAATTTTTTGCAATCCACTGTACGGTGTTCGCTTTAAAAAGTGAAAACCTCTTCTCTGAATGGTCATAATCATATCTCTAATATTATCATCATTATCAGAATTATTATCATTAAAAAAATCGAAGTACGAATACGAAGTACATATACTTAAATAAATAAGATAAATTTAAATAAGAATTATGTTAGAGAAAAGTTTTGTTGTATCTCGATCTAGTGAATACGCTCATTATGCCGTGCGAGCCGACTGTCCGTCCGTAACCATGGAAACCGCCTTTGCTCGTGGAGAATTCGCTAACTAACCACGCCAGTTGCATTTGGTACTTTTTGATTCTCTTTCCATTTATCCATTTTTGTTAATTGTATTCTGTGAACCGCGATTTCTTTTTATTAAATTTCTTGATCAGAACTTCGAGTTTAATTTCAATGCCGTTTAAACTTTGCCGACATATTGTTTATTATTTATCTTGTCAGAATGACATTGCAGTGGCGACCTAATTAATCAAAATATTGTTCACATATAGTCAGTGTCATTTGTATTACGAGAGAAATTTCACTTTGGAAAAAAGTTGAACAATTAACTAAGTATGAAATAACAGTTTATGAAATAACAATTAACGATTTATTTTATTTTAATATAAAGCACTCCCTAGCGTTTACTGTAGTGATTACGGTCGAACCAAAGTGAATTTAAATTTTGGCGGCGAATGCTTAAATTTAGTACTCCGAAAATTTCATTTTTTAATCGCGTTGCTGATCATATGTTTGCAAAATAATAAATTCGACACACTAAAGTTAGACGCAATGACCAACTCTTAGTTTCACCAGTGTTATTACCAAAGCGTCAAGGAAATTAAAACCCAAAATGACTGCCGGAGTGAAAAATGTCCCCAGGTTTATTGTAAAAGTTTACATAAGTGGATATATTCAGCCTCATCTGGTTGCCTCTTCTGTTGCAATGTTGTGCAACATGTCAGTAAGGTCGTATCCGTACATCTCAGGGTTTTATGGAGAAGAGATCTACCACTACTAACTTTGTCCATGTAAATCAGTATATCTCAGAAGTTTTGACAAAAACCGACAGCTCGATGTGGTATCCAGGAAGCGTTTGATCACCAAATATTACTGCGTAAGTTGCAGAATATTGGACTTTTGAGTGATTTACTAATTTTAATTGCATATTGTCTCAATAGCAGGCAACTCTCTGTTGAATATGGAGGCTACAAGTTTAGAAATTTTGTTGCTACGTCAGGAGTACCTCAAGGGTCGAATTTGGACCTCTCGCTTTTTTAAATATTCATGAACGATTTATCTATTACGTAAACTTGTTATTTGACATGACCTAAACAGCATGATTGCAAGTAAGATGTTAAATATAAAGGACATAAGTAAGACTAGAAGAAACAATTTAAAATTATTTTCAAATATACAGGGTGATTCACAAATATGTTATATATTTTTAGATTGAACACCCTGTATATTATTGGATTAGTAGATATTTCCTTTTACACTCAGTCACCCAATGCAGAGTTCTTATGGTTATGGTTGTAGGGTTATTTTGTTATTGGATGATTGAGTATAAAAGGGAATAAGGGAATATCTATTAATGCAATAATATACAGCGTGTTCTATATCTGTATCTATAACAAATAATGAACGAGATATATTACTTTGATACGCTAGTTAGATACCCTGTATAATATCTATCTAACTGTAAAACTTCTAAAGCTGGAGCGATTAAATTCATTGCCTGGGGAGTTTTTGAACATGCAGAATTCAAAATTGCTGACGGCTATGTTGTCAGATTTGCCACGTTTACATTGCACTTCATAATTTTTAAATTTAATTTCCATATTTATTTTTGTTGCAATGAATTGCGCCTACCTACCAAATTTAGTAACGTCTCATAATTAAAAAAAAATGTTTCTGTTACTTAGTGAGCTTACATCAACACTGTTTTTTCAACAAAAATTACTGGAACGCGTAAATATCTTCCGGTACTTTTTACTAACCCGGGATAATTCGATAATATTGAAATTTTTTAAACAAAGAGCAATCTAACCTTCAAGCGACTTTGTTTTCAGTTGGTTTCAGTCTTTACGGAAAGGTACAGATTGTTGACACCTGGTAACTGTCCAATTAGAGTTCATATGCGATGCACACAACTTATTAGTGGATTTACATATTTAGTATGTAGCGTTTTCGAGGTAAACAAGTAAACTGCAAGCCATTTATTTTTATTCGCTGTAAAATGAGAAAATGGACTACTACCATTAATTACTAGGTTATTAAGAAGATATCAAGATTAGGTTAAGTTTTTGGAGCGGAGCATCGACTCCAATTGTCTGAGTAGTCCTTAACACAATGTAATTTTTTACACGATAGAAGTTTTTAGTCTCGTTCTCTTTTTTAGTGACTGTATCACAATTAAAATAGACCGCACAAGTCATTCATAAACGTACCATTGTTGCATTTAGGAAGGGAAGGATGACGGTGAAAGGCAACCCAAAAACTTCCGATTGCCCCGAAACCCGTTCGGTAATATCCCGGAAATGTCCGAAATGGCTCGGATCCGTGGGAAACGGAAATGACGTCGTAAATTGACGCTCTTCGCATTTCGATGTGGGTTAAGTGTGAGTGACTTTAAAGCCAGACTTCGCCCATGCAATCTTAATAATAAATAAATAGATAAGTAAATAAATATATAAATACATAAAATAAAATGATTTCTACAAATTAAAAAAAATATTTATAGTGCGGTAGGTGTATTAAAAATACAAATATCAATTTCATACTACTTAAATTTCATAGAAAATATCATTGCAAATAATTTTTTCTCCAAACCATTCAAATGTCTAAATTCTGTGAAATGTGGTATGTAACTTTTTGTTTGTGGTGAAGAATTAAAAATGAAACACTTAACAATCCATAGTCAAATTAAGAAAATTGAATATTTTAAACACCAAATTAATAAGACGCGAAAACCTGCATTTAAAAACTTCCTACTGCAATGATAAGAAATAATTATAAATATTTCAAAAATACATCTCAGAGTTTACGTAATTCATATTCCTACTTTTTGAAGTATTTTAATAAAACAGATAGACAATTACTTAAGTTAGAAACAATAATGATAATTTTCTGCATGCTGCAGAAATTGTAAGAATAATTTTTATTTTAAGGGAAATTAGTGCTACGCCATCAATGTCTGCAAAAATAGGCAGGTGAAATTCCGTACGTTTCAAAGAAACTTGCACAGACTACTGACTGTAATCCTTTTTACAAAACTTCTGGAATCCTCCTGCGTCGCTTTTTGCTCTCATTTCGCTCGTTGGCTTCTTCAGAGCTTTACTGTATTTTACTCTGTACCTGCTTATATATTCTTTGAGAGGGGCGGAGCTAAATGAGAGGCATAAACACCGTTTCGGATGACTGATTCCAATATTGAAACTTGAGTCGCGGTTAGCATTCTTAGGTTGTTTATAGATTTCTATGGACTCTCGGATTTTTTTGTGGTCAAAACCAGATTTACTACTTGTCAAAAAATCTCTCATCATCTGCTATCCGTCAAAGAAAAAAAAATCATTTGAAATGAAAGGAGTTTACGGCATTCCATGCATAAGCTGCAAATAATAAATTGATGACACCGGACGAACAATACCAACTAAGGTCAAAGAACATGAAAGAGCCTTAAGACTAAGATAAATAAACTCATCAGCAGTTGCCGAGCACAATTACAAAACCGGACATAAAATTTTATTCAATAAAACTGAACAACTTAAACAATATATAAGCAGGTACAGAGTAAAATGCGAGGCAGTTTCAGTCAACCTCTGAAGAAGTTAACAGGATGATTGGCGAAACGTTAGCATGTTCGACTCAGCTAAAAATGACGCAGGAGGAATCCAGAAGTTTTGTAAAAAGTGTGTTATATATTTTTAAAAACTAATAATATGCCTCATAAAATTATTACAAGATACACAGGGCCCCATTGCCGTTCCAGCGATTGCTTTACTGGTCTAGAATGGGCGAATCAGTAAAAACAACTGATTACGAAACAATCGCACTAAGTACCATCCTCCATACTCTATACTCGCTGGCGAGTAAAAAAAAGGCGACTAATTCAAAATATTTTTTTAATTTCAGATAATACGGACTTGTTAAATCAGGCCGAATCAAACATTCCCCATCAAGAATCCACTTCCAAAATTCACATGCCATATAATTCCTTTGATGGTATTGGTGTCGATGAGCAGGGTAAGCAAAGATTTAATTTTTGTTAAAAATTCACACATTGTCGCAACCTTAAAGAAAGCATTTCGCATTCTTAAAATTATTTAGTTCATTTTGCTTAGTATTCATAAGTTCGACCAAAGTTTACCTAGAGATTTGAAAAAAGAAATTAAGTAATTCGACCAAGACGAAATGCCGAAAATTATTTTAAATTTTATGAAATGGCAACCAGTAGGAGTTAATAATAATAATAATAATAATAATAATAATAACTTTATTATTAACTATATTAACAAATATACAGACCTATAGAACTGAAAAATATACATATGGTTTACAATGGGCGTAAAAAGCAGACATCTGGACAACCGGATACTGATGAAGCCATAATTTGAAACCAAGAAAATTAACATAATAAAAATTAAAACTGTATTAAAAAAAAGGAAGAAAGTAATATTTGTTTCTTTATTCTGTTCCGAAATATCAAATGAATTTATTTATTGTATTTATTTAGAATAAAACGTATATTATAAGAAAACGATTTTTTCAAACCCTCTTGACAATGTTGAGGAACAGTTTAAATTATGTATATCACTTTTAAAACAGGCGGTGGTTTATACTTATAAATTTTGTAGAAAAAAGTTGCAACATCTGGTCGTAACTAAAGAGTTATAACCGATGATTTATTTGGATTTAATTTTAAGAGATGATCCGTAGCTATACCAAAAATGTTGTTTAAGTCATAATTAATCCTCTCCTCTGCAGTCTGCAGAACTGCATAGTTAAAACTGAGAAGTAATGATTGTGAACAGCAAAGAACCCAAAATACTTCCCTGTGGAACTCCTATTTAAACATTTGAGGAATCAGATATCCGGCCATATAAATTAGGTGCTGAGCTTTGTCCCACAAAAAGAAGCAAATCAGATGACGGGATTCAGCACTTATTGCAACGTAATGGTCTTCTTCTTCTTCTTATTTTAAGACTATGTCTTGTGTGTTCAAGGAAGCAGCCTAAGTTGTGACTCCGAGGTCCAGCTCTCATACCAGCGCTTTGGTGGTCTTCCGGGAGGTCTACTTGTATTGGGTCTCTCTTCCTTTGCGATTTTCGCCAGTCGATCGTCTTCCATTCTATTGACATGATCTCTCCATGCTTTTCTTCTATTTCTGGCCCATCTTACTATATCCGGAACGTCACACATTCTTCTAATTTCATTGCTCCTTATTCTGTCTCTTAGCGTTTTCCCTGCGATTGAGCGTAATGTCTTCATCTCGGTCCTTCTAAGAATCTCTTTCTATGGCTTATGTGATAACTGGTTTAACACAAGTTTTATATATCCGTGTTTTGCTTTCGATACTTAAGTATTTATTCCTCCATATCACGGTTCGAAGGAATCCTGATATCTTAGATGCTACTATTGTTTGTATTTTTACTTCTTGTTTCAGGTTCCTATTGCTCGTGATTTTAACCCCTAGATACTTAAAAGACATAACCTGCTCCACACTTTTATTATAAATTGCCAGTTTGCATGTTCTGAGTTCTCTCGCTATTGTCAAGGATTGTGTCTTCTGTGTCGATATGATCATATTTAATTTTCCTGCAGCTGTTTCAAATCTACGTAATGTTTCGAGCAAAGTAATGTAAAATGATTAATCATATCAGATGCCTCACTAAAGCCTCACGACACGATAGCTTCCGGCACAGGTTCGAAACATATTATCAAAAATATCCGACAGAGCACTCCCGCAACTGTGAGCCGACCTAAATCCCGTTTGTTTGAGCAACAAAATATTATTTCCATCTACGGATACTCTCAACTGCTTATCTAAGTGTTTTTCTAATATTTTAGAGATAGTGAGTGAAATACTGACAGATCGCAGGTGAGATTACTCAGTCGGCCTCTTTACTTTTGGCAATGGAGTAACATATGTATTCTTCCAAACGACTGGAAAATAAGAAGACAAAATACTCTCATTAATAAGGTTTTATTAATTTTATCTGCACCTGAGGTCTTAGTTGATATTTTTAGTTTTAAAACTCGATTCCTAAAAATAATACCTTGAGTACTAAATTTAAGCCGAGACAAATTCAAATATTTTTTTAATTAATGCTATTTGCTCCATCTCTGCAACGAAAAATATTTTCTTAAATAAATATCCTCATTTTCAAAAATGCTCAACGGACTGGCAAGGCTAGGCTATCAATAGTGCTCTGAAGGATGCTTGCTTGAACGAAGTGAATTTTTCTGATATAAGCGCAAAGTGACAATCCTAAGTATTACTGAGCATTTAAAAATGTAAAAAGTTGTAGGTAACTTGGTTCCCTTTGAACTTATATAACTGTTGGGGTATTAAATTTGATGATGAAAATACAAAATACATTGGAAAAAAGCATACATAACATCAATATTGAAGAAGGGAAATAGAAAGGATAGCGAGAATTATAGATTAATAAGCGTTATTGCGACGATGATGGGAAGACTATATGGCACGGTACTAAAAAACAAGCTAGAAAAAGGTATAAAGGAAGTTTGGCGGAGAACAAGCTGCATTTACGGCAGGATCATGTGTAGACTACATACCGGGAATGGGAACATAGGGAATCCCATGTAAATTTTTAGGTGCCAAAAAATTGGCTCACCTGTTCATTTTATAACTCATGCGCCAATCTTAAGTTATTGCGAATATTTTCCATGACGCTATTTCCATAACTTGATGACGTGAAGCTGGAAAAATACATATCAAATAAAGGTTGGTTTACAATAAAGACATGCATTTTGTTTCACACAGTCAAAATAAGCTAAGTATGTATGTACATCATAATGATTTTCTTATGATCAAACTGATACTCGGTCCTTACGATCTCCTTGTCTCTTAAAACGTACTTGGAATGAATTTCTTTTAAAGGGCGGTTTAAACAACAAGGAAGCTTTATGGAAGAACTATATAAATTTGATTCTTTAGAGTACTATCGAGTTTTTTCTCAACTGAGGGAACAGTGTAGAAATTTATTTATTTCATCGCATAGAGACTACATCGGAATGCTCGAAAATCAGTTAAATGATAAAAAGTCCTTTTGGAGGTATGTGAATACAAAGTAGAAAAACTTGAGTATCCACAATGTATGTCGCTTGATTATGAATTTACCAGCGACCGTCAGAGAGTGGCGGACATGTTCAATCAACATTTTACCTCAATCTATTCAGAATATGCAGAATGCAATTAATCATTTTCTTGTGATAAATCTGTTAGTCTAGGATTGTTAAAAGCAAATGTTGTCGATATTTTCAATATAATAAGTATTTTCAAGCAAACCTTAGGACCGCGACCCGACGCTATATTGGAAAAAATCTTGTGTTACACCCATTTTCGCCCAAACCCAAACTATCGCCGACTCTTTAAAATTTGCTTGTTTTCGAAAATATTTGAGGGGATAGTTACCTATTATGTCACCCCTCATTTTAAAAACGTTATTATATCCGAACAGTATGGTTTTGTCAAGGGAAGGTCAACTGTTTCGAACCTCTTGAGCTATGAACGTTCGCTGTTGTGGGCCTTTGAGAATGGGTATCAAGTAGATGACTTCTCCAATGACTTCGACAGGGTTGACCATGGCATTCTGGTAGGGAAGCTCTTAGGGATTGGAATCTTTGGAGACCTTCTAAATTGGTTTCGCAGCAATATCACTAACCGAAAGCTGTTGTGACGTCTGGTGTCCCACAAGAGGGACATCTTTCCAAATTCCTTTTCAATGTTTTCATTAATGATCTAAAAAATATTGTTCGCTTTTGCCAATTTCTTGCATTTGCGGATGATTTAAAGCTCTTTAAGATTATAACATCATCTCTTGACTGTCATCGATTACAGGAGGATCTTGATAGGTTTTTTTTGCGGTGCAGACAGAACAATTTAACTCTTAATACAAACAAGTGCAAAATTGTAAGCTTTAGCATATCCAAAAATTCATTAACTTTCGCCTATCATTTGAACTCTGGATCGCTCGAGAGACAGAACCTAGTTAAAGGTCTTGGAGTTTGGTTTGATTCGGAGATCACATTTACCTATGACATTGATTTTGTGACTAACAGAGCTATTCGATTGCTTGGGTTTGTTTTTTTTCGAACTTTGATGGGTTTTGAGAACATCTTTACGTATAGGAAGCTGTACTGTGCGCTTGTGCGTTTAATTTTAGAGTACGCTAGCTGCGTCTGGCAACCATACTATGCAATTCACAAGGAAAGAGTAGAGCGTGTGCAGCGTAAGTTCCTTAGAGGGATAGGTTTTAAATTGGGAATGTCATTGGAGGAAATAAACTGCGAGGAGATTATGAAGCTTTTGAATCTGACATCTTTGGAGAGTAGGCGCATATTTTTTGACACCGCAACATTGTACAAAATCCTTAATAACTTGATGGATGTACCAGATCTCCTGGCATCTGTTGGTTTTCATATTTCTCCTATTAATGCAAGAAATAAGGCTTTTTTTAATATTGATTTTCATAGGACCAACTAAGGCGTTAACTCGCCTATGAATCGAATGTGCAAGCTGACAAATATTTTACTCACAAATAGCGAGCGTATTGATTTATTATCTGACTCTCTCAGTAGCTTTAATTGCAAAGTAAAGAAGACTGTTTTTAATCAACTTGGTAGTTTAGCATCTGTAGGTGTTGTTGTAAGTGTTGGTGTTACTATTTTTCTTAGGTTAAACTATACTATAATGATAATGTAAATGCTAAATGCGTAAATAAAAATTTTAATTTTTTGTTAAGGAATGACCATGAGATTATGTCTTCTAGTTTATACATTTGACTATTTATTGGTTCCGAGTTCAAATAGAAAAATAGAAAAAAAGGGTAGCAGTATACTGCTCATTATTAAAATGTGGAGGTTCCATTTTTTTGATTACGTTTGGTGGTTGATATTAATAGAAATGTACGTATGCCCAGCGGGATTCATTTATCAGGAGGAATTATTAAAACAATGAACCGATACTAATCCTTATGTAAGTAAATAAAGCGTTAAAT